TTGACCTTCCCTGTTCCAAGGGGCCAGGAAGCTCATGGGACCCTCAGCCATCCCTCTACCATGTGGGCCTCCGGAGCTCTGAGAGGCGCTAGAGGACATACGTGGGAAAGAGGGAAGGGGGCTCCATCTATAACGCCATGGGAGGAGTTACCAACTCTGCTGGTGCACATTTCCAGTGTGGCTGCTTTAAGGCACCTACACCCCTGCATATGATCCCCTACGCTTTGCTCTGTAAGACCAATAAATTCATGGTCTTGGGTGGAGTTTAGTTTGTCAATAGGACCCTAGGAGAAAGTGGGTAGACATCATTTATTCTCCCCTAGAGAAGGGACTTTAGCAACAGCCCAATGCTGGTTTGCCTTTGTGTGGGTGCAGGGTGGGGGAGGTAATGGAATTTTTTAGTGAATAACCTCCTTCATAGGAGTTAGGTAGATTTCCTTTGTCAGAGCTCACAATGGCCCACTTATGGCTTTGGGAATTTACTGTAGGGAGGTTTAAAAGAGAATACAAGCAGATCTGGAACTCTAGGCAAGGATAGGAATTCTTCCATCACTTGGGATGAGGGAACAAGGTCTGCCACCTTGAAGTGCAAAGGAGGCTGGACCTGGGATGGACAGCACCTTCCTTCCCTAATCTCTTCCATCTCTAGCTCACCAGGAAATAGGCTGAGTGTTGAAGTTGCTTGCACAGAGGGGACAAGAGGTGGAACACACCATCATCGCATCCCCCTTTGATACATTCAAATTCTGCACCAATTCAGAATTACCGCAGAATTATCCGTTCAAAAACACATCAGGGTGGGGGTAGAGCACACTTCTATCCCAGCACTCCAGAGGCAGAGGGATCTCGGTGAGTTTGAGGCCACCTGCTCTACATGGAGAGTTCCAGGTCAGCCAAGCCTTCATAGTGAGACCCTGCCTTAAATAGATAGATGGATGGATGGATGATGGATGGATAGATGGATGATGGATAGATATATTAGATAGATAGATAGATAGATAGATAGATAGATAGATAGATAGATAGATAGATAGATAGATAGATAGGTGATCGATGATAGAAATAGATGATGGATGGATGGATGGATGGATGGATGGATGGATGGATGGATGGATGGATGCATGGATGCATGGATGCCTCCTTTTATGTGCTCCTCCCGCACCTAAGCTCTCCCACAGGCTTTCTCTACCCAGAGGCTGCGTGTGTGGCCACACGGGGGCGCTTCGGGCCGCGCCACTCAGGGTCCGCAAGACTTTGCAAGGTTCTGGGCCGCACCTCCCGCCCGCGTCCCCATTAATCACGCGTGTTGACGGCGCCGACCCGCGCGCGGGCGGCGTGACGGCGCCGGTGACGGCGGGTGACGGAGCGGGCAATCGGCGGGCGCGCATCGGCCCATCTTATCGCGCCGGCCCAGCCTTCGCCCGCCGCGCGCCGCCCATTGATCGCGCGGGCTGGGGCCGGGGGTCAGCGCGGACGCTCGGCCTGACAGCCACATCCATCGCGCTGACGGCCGCACGCGCCCCTCGCCCGGCCATTAATCACCGTGCGGCGCCGACTGACGGGGAGGGCGACAGGGCCAGCGGGCGACTGCCAGCCCTGCCAGCCCGCATTTCCCACTGCCGGGCCCTGCCGCAGGTCACCCGCATCATCCCCAGGTCACTTGCAACCTGGGATGGGAAAACAGTGTGTATCTCTCAGGATCCCAAAGGAGAGCTGACTTGTCTGGCTGAGACTAGGTCATATCATAGCTCCTTTCTAGGAGCTGGCGGGGCCATTTCTGGAAAACAGAGAACAACCAGGAATGAATGCATCCAAACGCAGAGGACTGGACCTAAGCTTGCGCCTGTTTCACAAACTCTGACCTCCGCTAGCAACAAGAGCCAAGAACTGGGCATTCTTCTCTGAACCCTGGTCACATAGTGCCTGTGGCCTCAGAGTCTCACTCCGGCTTGGCAGGGCCTTTTCAGACATGGTCAGCTGCCCAAACAGGGCTGACTCAGGGGCTACAGGGTGTAACTCCCACCCTCTGCCTGCAACTCCATTTTATTAGCTAAGGCTTGTTGACCCATCACTTTTTGGTGTGAGAAAGCAAGTTCTGTTCTTTCTTAAAACCCAGATATTCTCTGAATCAACCTAGGGTTGAAGGCAACCTGAAGGAAGAGGTGTCTGCAAAGCTGAGGACAAGGATTCGCCTGGAGGCCACTTGGGAACCAGCACTGCACCTGGAATGAGGGGCAGAAGCTTCTACTCAGCCACCAAGCAGCTCAAGGGGTGGCTTCCAGGAGCCTGGCCGAGCTGGGATAGTGGCCACCTCCTGTGACCAGCCCCCATCCTGCCTGACTTTAATATTACAACAATTTTTCAAGCTGGAGCTGAACTAGTGGGAAAAATGGGGCTGCTGTAATTGTTGTTAGATTGTGTGTCAGCCTGATAAGATGTAACAAATACTTTCTCCCCACCAGGGTCTGCTGCCCGCCTGGGAATGGATGGAGAAACTTCTCACAGTCTGCGAGGGATGGGCCATAAAAACTTCGCCTGTAAGATTAATGTAATAATCACAGGCCTTGCTGGAGAAAAGAGAGGAAAATTAAAATAACCAAACCTTGCCACCTAGCCAGACCATCTCCCTCCTATCAGAGAATGGTCCCCCCTCCTCGGGCACAGTCACAGCCCAGATGAGGGAGAAGTAGCAGGACCCAGGGGCTGTGGCTAGGAAAAACAAGGCCTCACTGACAGCTCTGGAGAGCAGGTGCCAAGGGCTGTACAAGAATATCTCCAACCCACCACTACTGCCACTGTTTCTATCCTGATCAGGTGCTGTGAAGGTTTCAACTCAGCCGTCACCTGCCTCAGTCTACCCTGAAGTCTCACCTGCTCAAGGTCAGATCCTCAACTACTGCAGGGTATGAAGTAGTTAGCTCTAGCCAAGCTGAACGCAAATCTGATTTCTCCTGCTAGCTGGGCAGGCGATTTGGCCTCATGAGGACAAAATGATGTCACACCGAGAATGGTGACACTTATAATCTCAGTACTCAGAAAGCAGAGGCAGGAGGATTGCCTCAAACTCAAAACCAGCCTGGTTTACATAGCAAGACTATCTCAAGACAAGGTACCCAATGTGCAAACTACCTACCCATGAGTCTACACTGATGGTTACTAAGCAGGTAAGCAGTGAGATGGTCCTCATGCAGACTCCCAAACCATGGTAACCTACAGCCTGGAAGAGGCACAGCTGTTCTAAACCTTAAGTGTGGTCAGCACAGAGCGACTTCACTCAAAAGAGCCCAGCATAGAACAGGAAGCATGAACAATGTCCCAGACATGGCAGCCTTGGCCAGGAGCTGAGGGGTCACAGTAGAAGTGTCCTACTGAAAGTACCTGCCAAGATGGGCTGCAGACTTGTGTGGCTCTGATACCCAACAGTCACCCCTGTCACTGTCCAGGTCATCAAAACACAGAGATGTCTGAGAGGAAGATGAGGTGTGCCATCCCAACGGTGCTCTCGCCACTCACTGACAAGTGTGCTGCCCTACTGCAGAATGCTGTGTCCCGGCAACTCCCTGCACTCACGCCGCAGTAGCTATAAATCTAAATTGGTTCTGTAATTCCTGTGTATGTGCCAAGCGTAAATAACCTTGTTTTGTGCTGGGGATAGAACTTAGAACCTCCCATAGTAACTCCAGCTCCAGGGGCTCTGATGCCATCTTTTGGCCTCCACAGGCACCTGCCAAGTACACACACACAAAGTACAAACATAAAAAGAGAGGTATCATCAAAATAACCTATTCAGTTTTATTAGAAAACAAGCCAAGTGGGAAGGGATTCCTTCCAAGCAGCCATGGAGGTTTCCTAACTCAGAAAGAATGTTTCCACACAGAGCCAGCAACACTGCAAAGCATGCTTGACTCCAGCTCTGTCCACGGTGTGAGGTCTGTCCTCTGGGTGCACCTCCAAACCCAATGTTACTTCATGTACTTGTCCTGCTGGTCAGCCAGAATCTTGGCAGAGGACTTGGCATCATAGAAGAGTTCGCTGATCTCTTCCACGTGCTCCTTCTCAATGCTGTCCTTCCCGTTGATCTTTGCCAGCAGGTTGGCTGGGGTCAGCAGCTGCACCGAATACCTACAGCACAGCACAGTGGTCAAGATGGGGCCACTGAAGGGAGCCCCAAATCAGCAGGCAGCATGGGCACTGCCGCATGGCTGCAGCAGTCCAGCTGCAGTGAGCCCAGGGTGAGGAGAGCAAAGAGGAACTTCCACTGCCCATCACAACTGAGACAGGGGACACCAGGAGGCAGGGGACACAGTGCTCTTCTCGAATCTGCAAAGGAGGTGACTCCATTTCTGCTGAAAGATTAACACTATGATGCATACACACCCTGGCAGGGCAGACAGTGCCAACTTAGATGGAGACTGTGAACATGCAGAGAAATCAACCAGCAACCAAAAGCTCATGCTGGCCCAAGACAGGAAAACTCGATCACTGAACGTTCAATCAAACAGACATGAAAACTCGATCACTGAACGTTCAATCAAACAGCTGACAATGTCCTCCTTTATTTCAGGGACAAGAGTAACGTACTCAAGGGGCACAGGAGGGCTCAGGGTCTGAAGAACTACCTCCTGTCTTCTCCAGTCACCGCCTCTGAGCCCTGACAGAACAGCCTGGAGAACACAGCACATGCGCTGATCCCCGGGCTGCTGCCACCAGACACCTGGAATACACCAGGGTAAAGTGATAGGGACAGGCCCTGCTCTACTGGGAAATTGAAAGAGTGGTGTGAGCTCCGCCCGGGGCTTGTGGAGACTGAGTTCTAGATCCTTGGCACTCTGAACTCATGCCTGCAGAAGGCCCTTGGCACAGCAGAAGGGTTCCAGCAGGCTGCTACCTGGCGTACCATACCTGAGTGTGGTCTTAGTGCCAATCTCTCCCAGGTGGTTAAGCGCCTCCTCGCTGATGTTGATGCCTTCTGTCTGGGCTCGGATCTTAATGATCTTTGGAGAAAAAAACCACGGTTAAGTGTCTCACCTGTGTTCAGTGTCTGCCCTGCTGATGGCCACCAGCCCTGCTGGCCTGCATCTCTGGGAATAACACGTCCTACCCACAGTCCACCTGAATGATGTCGCAGCCAGCGGGACGGACCCCCATGTCCAGTGCAGCTCACAGCTTCCTCTGGCCCTCTCCATGGCTACAGAAAACTGGGACCACTCCTAGCTTTGCCCTCAAGGCTCCAACCTCTTCTGCCAGCTTGGGCACTATCACTTATGAGCACTCAAGCAAGAGAAGACATTTTTTATTTGCTTGATAAATACTATGGTTAAATAAATCAAAAAAGTTACTTGAAGAGATTTAGCAGCCTCCTAACATCGCTGAAACATCTAATCTATCAAGAGCCTAATGCTTGTTGCACTGAGGATCCTGGGGAGGCTGGAGGAGCCGCCGGCAGCCGGTGAGATGCCGCAGCAGTGGCACCAGGTCCCACGGGCGCAGCAGCACTGAGTGATAAGGGCCAGCGGGATAATGATGTTGTGTGTTGCGGGGCCGAGATAACTCGAGGACTTCGAGCCTCATATAATACAGGAATTTTTCACTCTGGCAGCTTCGTAAACAAGATATCAAGGAGCCGTTGTTTAAATTAAAGCCGTAAAAACAGCCAGCGTAGAGGCACAGGAACTGGAAGACACTGAGTCCTAGCACCAGGCTCTAGAGAGAGAAAAGGTGTGTGGAAGCTTGAGACGGCTGAGCCCGACAACCCAGGACTCTGCCGGGGTCAGCAGTCATCACTGTCACCCTGAGCAGCCTGGAGCTGAGGTCGGCAGGCTAGCATGCATTCTTAAGAGGTGGCCACTTCACAGGCCACCACTGCTAGTGTTGCCTTTATCCAGAAAAGGCCGTAAGAGCAGAATTGGGGGAAACCTCTTGACTAGTCCAAACACGTCCCAAACACTACAGAGGCCACAAACACATCTGCTGTGCTCCTCAGGGGTCAGGATGTGAGCATATATACACACAGGCTCAGCTATCATGTCCAACAGCAGAGGAGCCCAAGACAGTCACCAGATGAGTTCAAGAGCTATGGAAAGAAAGCTAGGGAGGATGTCCCCTGCTCTGCTCCAGCAGCCAGCTACATGACTCAAGGACTCGTGACCTCGGGCCAACAGCAAAAATGGCTGCTCAGGAGTCCTTCTGGAACGACAAGAGGGACTGGGATATATGCACATCAGTGGCAGGGCATGTTCTCAGCATGCATAGGGTCCTAGGTCCCATTCCCAGGTCTGCCAACTCCAGAGAGATACAAAGACTGAAGGGCAGAGGCTGGCAAGGGGAGGGCCAGCATCATCTCTTTGCTGGTTGGATCTGTGGCTTGGCTTCCTTCCATAATACCAGGAATATCTGCTCTCACTGTCTCTAGAACAGGCCAGAGAAATTGTGGGTGCTCCTACCTCAGCTGTTTGGAAACAGGCGGCTCACGGATGATATCTTTAATCATTTAATAACCTATAGGGATGTTTGTGAGGTGTCAGCACCAGGGGCACCCTGCACCCATTAAGTTGAGCTTGTTTATGTGAAACCTACCTACCTTAACTCCAGCAGAAGGCTGAGGGGATCCCTGGAGCCACTAAGGCCAAAGCGAGACCCAGACAGGTAGCCACGGAGAGCAGCCTGAAGACTGACCTGAGGAGGCCTGTCGGTCACAGTACCAGTATGAGGGGAGGCAGAGTGCTTCAGAGGAGCTTCACCTGGAGCTCCAAGGTGAGCTTCTCCGGAGGGGCCCAGCTCCACCACTTAGTTATCACAAAGCTGTTGTCAAAGACCTTAGAGGCTGACCATGAAGCAGCTGAGGATGATGGTGCCCTATCCCGTCACAATCTCACAGAATGCATGTGATAATTTTGCAAAGCAAGGAGATGGTCTTCTTTGTCACCATCTCAACGGAACCTGAGTGACAATGCCTCAAAACCAAAGGTAGGTCTCTCATTACCCAGAGAAAGGGCTGTTCTGGTTTGTGATAAGACACTGACCAAAGCGACTTGGGAGGAAATCTGCAGGCTGATAGCATCTGGTGGTCATTAAGTCCATGTTTTCTTTTTCTTTTTCTTTTTTTTTTTTTTTTTTTTTTTTGAGACAGGGTTTCTCTGTGTAGCTTTGGTGCCTGTCCTGAATCTCGCTCTGTAGACTAGGCTGGCCTTGAACTCACAGAGATCCACCTGGCTCTGCCTCCTGAGTGCTAGGATTAAAGGCGTGAGCCACCACTGCCCAGCTAAGTCCATGTTTTCTTTTCCCTTTTCCTCAAGCTCATCAAGAGTAGATAGATGGACCAGACCCACAGAGAGCAGAGGTTCTAACCCATCGAAGAATGTCCACTCAGAATGACCCATCTTTCAGAGTCATAAGGACACTGACTTTCTCAGACTGGTGAGCAAAAGCCAGGCCTAGGCTAGCTAAGAGGTCAGAGGTGGGTAGAGAGAGGAGTAAGAACAGGGGGGCTCCAGAGGCTTACCTGCTTCATCTCCTGTGGTGTATACAGCATGGTCCTGATGATCATCACCCGGTCCAGCAGGTCCAGTGGGATGCCGTGTGGAGAGGTGATGTCCTCAGTGCCCCTGCAAGAGCCAAAAATCACTCCCATTACCCAAGGAACTCTGAGATCCTGGACAACAGACACATGAGTAGAGACACTCTTGGGACAGAGTAGGTTGCTAGCATCCCTGAGAATCAGGGCCAGGTGGCCCAGGGGAACAGCTTCGTCATTCCAGAAATAGAAAATTTGGGAAGATGGAACACAACAAAACCCAAAAAACCCTAACTATTTGCCACACCTTCGAGTGTTTTATAGTTATACTGCCAATATGTGCATTTTTCTGGTTTTGCCTGTTGCTTCAGTCTTAATAACCATGCTTAATTTTTACTTGACAGCACACATTAATGAATTATTTCCTCTGAAACTATCACCATGCCTGAGTAGCTCAAGGGTCTGAGGAATGGATGACTATGCCAGCCTGCACAGCTACATGAGTGACCCAGTCGCCCAACACCATAGCCAGCAAAGCATCTGAATTCCTAAATGTTTGCTGCTTTAGTGATTTAGAAAGAGAAAGGGGAACACCTTGATTGAGTTGCATTTCCTTGGTTACTAATGAGGCACAAATGTTTTCCCTAACATTCACTCTTTTCTTCCTGAGAATTGTCCAATTACATCCTTTGTTTCTCTCTTCATCCCTTAGCCAAGCCCTTGTCAACAGCCAGGAGAGGAAGCCTGCCAACCTGCCAGGCCTGTGCCAGCTGCCTGATGGGACAGACACATGCTGGGCAGACACTGGTGCCCTACAGGCCAGCCCAGCTGCAGCCATGGGGGCTTAGTAGCTGTGGGCCTCTGCATCAGGCCATCCTAACACGGGTGGCCGTCAGCCTCCCTAACATCTTGAGCCTAGTCACAACTGCAAAAGCTACCACAGCTGACTAAAATAAGAAAGAATAAGGCATGCCACTTTAATTGTTAATTTCAAAATATGTCGTTTTAGGGCTGGCAACACAGTTCAGTAGGTAAAGGTGCTTGCTTACAAGCCCAACAGTCTGAGTTTAGTTCCCAGAACCTATACGGTGCAGAGAGAACCACAAGTGTGCGATGCTAAGGGAGTGTGAGAATGCGCACACAGACACACAAAAAGGAAGGAAGAAGAAAAAGGGATGCAAGCAAGAAAGAAAAAAACATTCAAACATCTATTTTGAAATCTTTCCAATGCAGTTTAGTATCAGTGTATATTTATTATAAAAAATAAATGGAAGATGCACAGCAGCACAGGATAAACTCGAAACCTACTAAGGAAAACAAGCCAGACACCAAAGGACAATGGGTGACAAACTGCACTCCAGGAAACTAAGTGGCCACATCCACAGAAGGAAGTCAGAGGCTGCTGCGGTCGTCTACTGCGGTCGACTGCAGTCTGAACGGGAAGATGGGACTGGATGCGCAAGGGCTACAGGAGTCCTGTTTTTGGAGTGAGGGAAAGGTTCTGGTGGAAACCGGCTGGTGGACAGCTCAGTGGTTGAGGACACTGGTTGCTTTTAAAGAGGACCTGTTGTTTGGTTCCCAGCACCCATATGGTGGCTCACAACTGTCTGTAACTGCAGTTCCAGGGGATCCAGTGCCCTCTTCTGGCCTCCACAGGCTCCTGCATGCATGTGGTGCACAGACACAGGGAGGCAAGACATTTATATACGTAAATAAAAATAAATGAGTCTGTAAAAAAGTTTTGGAAACACAGATAGTAGTGATGGTTGCATCACTCACTACTACATACGTCAATGCAACCTTTAGCACTGGGGTGTGCTCAGCAATGGCCTGCCTTGTAAGCATGGCACCCTAGGTTTGATGCCCAGCACCACATAAGACTGAGTGTGGTGTACAAGCCTGTATTACTACACTACCATGCCTCAGGAGGATCAAGAGTTCTAGGTTACCATCAGCTATACAAGGAATCCGAGGCCAGCAACACTTTTTTTAAATAATAAGGGAGAATTGTAAAATATGAAGTTTTATCAGGATTCAAATCACAGTACTTACAATAGTTACCATCTTTTCAAGAAAAGTAACTTTTAACAATGGTATTTAAATTTTTGTTACTAAATTCCCTTTCAATTCTTCTTAGAGTGTATTTGGGAGGGTTTTTTTGGGAAGGTGGAGTCTCAGGACATCTAAAAATCTCAACTCTGCCATGTTGAAATAGTCCAAGAACAAAAATATTCAGAATTCCACAGCCTCATTATAAATCATCTTGGATTCATACATAATAAAAGCATAAGAAATTTAATGGAAAAAGGTATGTGAGAAATGAAGCGCCCCTCCAGCAGCCCTGAAAAGAACAGAACTTACATGAGTGTGGTTACTGAGCTTCTTATGGTTGAGTTCATAAAGCTAAAACTTACACCAAAAGACCACTCAGAAGCTATTAAGTGTTGTAGAATATTACTAAAAGATGTGTTACATTTGTTTATGCTGTGGAATATCTGTTCAATGATGCAAAGATGTGTTATTGTGCCTGTCTAAAACACCTGATTGGGCTAACAAAGAGCTGAGCAGTCAATAGTAAGGCGGGAGAAAGGATAGGCAGGGCTGGCAGGGAGAAAGAATAAATAGGAGGGGAAATCTGGGGGAGGAGCAAGAAAAGGAGAAGGACATCTGGGGCCAGCCACCTAGCTACACAGCAAGCCACAGAGAAAGAAGGAAGGAAAAGATATACAGAAATAGAGTAAGGTAAAAGTGTAATCACATGTTTCCTGTTCCACCTGCATGTTCCCAAATACCTGGCAGCCACTTCCTAAATAACTGACTCAGAGGCTTACTATTATTTATGAATGGTCAGCTGATAGCTCAGGCTTGTTACTAGCTAACTCTTACACTTAAATTAACCCATATTTTTATTTATGCTTTGCCACATGGGTCATGGCTTGTTACTTCATTTTCTACATGCCCTGCTTGTCCTATGGGAGCTTGCTGTCTCCCCCAAACTCTCCTGACTCTGCCCTTCTTCCTTCCATCATTCTCTCTGCATCAGGCTGCCTCTCGCCCAATCTCTTCTTGCCCTGCTACCGGCCAATCAGTTTTCTTAATTAACAATGAGCATTATCCACAGCATTAAAAGCCTAGAGGCAAAAAGTAGATGGGATAATTTAAGTTAAGAAAAGCTGGCAAGAAACAAGCCAAAGCTAAGGCCAGGCATTTATAAGAAAGAATAAAACTCTGTGTGATTTATTTGGTAGTTGGGTGGTAGGCTCCCCTAAGAGCCAAAGAGTATTAAAAAAAAAAATCAACAACAATTAAGGACTGCCAAGTACTATTTAATCATCCAAGCTATGAATCTGAAGCACAGATTCTTCCGGAAAACCCATTCATGGGAAATTGTTTGTGGACACCCATCTGAGACAAGAAAAACACAAGGACACTGTTCAGTGGCAGCTGCAGGGACAGCACTGAACTAGGAACAGAGTGGAGCACATCTTATTACAAACTTCTTAATAATAAATGTATTTCGGTTAATATTGTGCTCCCAGGTAGACAGTCTAGACTGTGAGCCCACAGACCCAGTGCTCCTTGAGCTTGGGTATAATGCCTTTGCAGGATGCGCTGGATCTCTAGAAACATAGCTTTCACTTGAGCAAATAGCCCACTCACTTTTTAACACTGTTCTGCCTTAAACTCTGGGCTCTATACCATGCCACTGTTGACTTCTGGACCCCATACTTTCTGTCAGAGGCTGTGCTGTGCACTGTTGGATGCTGTGTGACACCCACAGCACTGAGTCATGAAAAATAAAAATGTCTCCAGATATTGCCAGATGTTCACAGGAAGAACGGCCCCTGATTGAGGATCAGTGCCCACTGCTGCTCTCTGTAATACATAATTTGCCAGAGACACAGATGACACAAGGCTTTGCTGATGACTGAAAATGCAGTAAACACCTAAGCAATTCAACAGGCAACTTCTTGACATGCTCCTGACCTCAGTCAGTGGACACAATGAGACACTTTTAAAAGGCCAGCCATATGACTTGGCTGCCAATGCAACTTGATAAGAATGGTCATTTGGGGCTAGGGAGAGGCTGTGCAATTAAGAGAGCTTACTGCTCTTCCAGAGGACCCAGGTTCAGTTCCCAACATCACACCAGGTGGTTCATAACCACCTGCAACTGTTCCAGGGTATCTAACACCCTTTGACATCTGTGGCACCTGCACACACATACACGGTGCACATAAATGCATGCACACACATACACAATAAATATTTTTTGAAAGATGGTCATTTCAATGAACAGTTCTATGACAGCTGGACATCTTTATATCTGTGATGCAGAACTGACCCTTCTTTGACTATGCACAAAAATCAACCCCAAATGATTAATGAACCAAGAGCTGAACTGCAGACTCTTGGAAGAAAACAGGGCATGCGCCTGCGGTCTCAGGTTAGACAGTGCTTCTTACTGAGAGCAAAGCACAACGGTAGGCAGGCTGGACTCCAAGGTGGACTGGAATTTGTTATTGGGGGCAGGAGGGTGAAAACCATAGATAGCATTGCACACACAAGGCAAGTACTCTACTGAGCTCAACTCCGAATCCACAAATTAGTTCTGAATAAAAATTTAAAACCTATGTCAAAAAGTTGATAAGACTACTCAAAGAAAGGTAGAAAATACTCAGATACATTTACATAATGTTCATTCATTATTGATCTATGCAATAAATATCCTACATCCAAAGTACATAAAGATTTTGTTTTGCTTTTTTCGAGACAGGGTTTCTCTGTGTAGCCTCGGCTGTCCTGGAACTCACTCTGTAGACCAGGTTGGCCTTGAACTCACAGAGATCCACCTGCCTCTGCCTCCTGAGTGCTGGGATTAAAGGCACCTGGCCATAAAGAACGTTTACTGTTCAAGAATAAAGACAAACAACCTAAATGAAAACTGGGCACATCTGTAATCCCAAAATTTGGGAGGATTAGAAGTTCAAGGTCATCTTTGGCTAGGTAGCATAAGTTTGAGGTCAGGATGGGATACATGAGACCTTGTTGCAAAAAACAAACAAATAGGCACAGAACATGATTAAGCATTTCTCCAAAGATTTATAAGTGACTATAAAAATAAAATGTTCAACTTCCCACCACCCATTAGGAAACAGAAATCAAACTAATGTGCTGCACGTTCTACCCACTGGTATCTCTAATTGGAAAGACAGATACTGGGGAGTGCTGGAAGAATGGAAACATGGGACTCTGCCCAATGCTGGTGGGGCGTAAAGAGGGCAGTGACTTAGAAAAAGTCATCATTGTTGAAAGGCTGAGCAGTTACTACCTAATCCAGCACCCATACTCCTAGGGACACATCCCAAAGAAGTCACAACTATGTCCACGTAAGATGTGCACAGATGTTCACAGCAGCATTACTCATCATAGCCAAAAGAACTCCTGCCTACCTGCTGAGGAATGGACAGGTGACATACGCCATCAAATATTCCACACTATGGAATATGGTTCTACTACAAAGTGTAAAAAGCAACACAGATGAACCCTGAGAACAAGCAGAGTGAATGACAGCAACCAGAAGAGGCCAGGTCATATGGTACCATTTATAGGAAAAAAGGCAAATCTGTAGAGAGTGAATTTACTACAAACTACTGAATGCTCCATTGTGCATCAGATATGTCTATCAATACAGGGCTTTTTTAAAAGCATCGTTCTGGACATGTGTCACAGGTCAACACTAAAGGGAGGCCACATTGGTCTAAGTCTTGACACTGGCACAACAAGGTAACCAACCTTCAGAAATTCCTACTGACCTTCCTAAATCCCAGGAAGACACTGATCCATGGGAAAATGGACCCTCCACAGGCAGAGCTGGGGTCAGTGCTGGCCACTCTCATCTAACAGCTGATGCTCCTGGACCCAAAGGGAAAGGATTCCTTGGAACAGCAAAGGGGTAAGCACCTCCTCCTCCAGCATCCACAGGTGAACACTTTTCCTTATGTACATTACCCAGAGGACCTGGGGGTAGTCTGCCAGGGCCAAGAGGACAGGGCCACATGACCTGTCATGCTCCCACAGGTTACTGAGACCAAGCCACGCACAGGACAGATAAGCAGGGAACAACCTATGGTACACCACTCCAGGCACACATGGCTTAGAGCAGTGGTTCTCAACCTATGGGTCATCACCTAAGACCATTGGAAAACATATTTATATTACAATTCATAACAGTAGCGAAATTACAGTTATGAAGTAGCAACAAAAATAATTTTACGATTGGGGTCACCACAACATGAGGAACTGTATTAAACGATTGCAGCATTAGGAAGGTTGAGAACCACTGGCTTAGAGACTCTGCACTCAACATTTAATCTGTGTAATTTACAAGAAAAACAAGGGACTTGCTTAAGGTATGGGCTTCCATGTGCCTGATATATCCCTTGTGGGAGGGAACCAGGCTCGTGCCAGGACTTATGCCCTAGACAACACAAGGTCAGCAGGCAGTGGGCTCATGTCTGAGGCTCAACCCATGAAGCCACTGCCACAGAGCTGTTAAGATGGCCAGAAGCCAAAAGGTGAATGTAAGGCAACTTCTGGAAAGGGCACTGTCATGGCTATATTTTCACAGCCATGGTATCAGAGCTAGTGTTCTCTGATGCCAGCTGTATAATAGTCCTGTACACTGTCACAGTGATTGGTTTAGTAAAGAAGCTGACTGGCCAATAGCTGGACAGGGTAAGGTTAGGCAGGAGAACCAGACTAAGGACACTGGGAAGAAGTCAGAGGAGTCACCAGCCAGACACAGAGAAGAAGCAGGGGGTGCAAGATGAAAGAGAGGTGATGCCCTGTGGCAGAATGTAGATTAATGGGCTAATTTAAGTTCTAAGAGTTAGATAGTAACAAGCCTGAGCCATAGGCTGAGCATTTATAATTAATATTAAGTTTCTGTGCGGTTATTTGGGAGCAGCTGCAGAGACACTCCAGAGAAACTCCGCTTACAGCCAGCTCCATGTGATGCCATGCTCAACACTTCATGCCTACTCACTGCCCAGCAGCCACTGGGGTGAAGCATGTGGGCTTTCCAGCAAGCTGAGTGGCAGCACTTTTGGCTTGTAGTCTGCCATTGGGAGGCAACCTCATCTGCCCTTGGGTGTCAGGGTGCCCTGACATCACTTTGTATGTGGCTCATATAGAGAGCAGTAGAAAGCTGACAAGGAGAAAGCCCTCAACACTGTGACTTCCCTTCGGAGCTTGGCTGTCAGGTGTGATGCTTGTGGTGTAAGAGCTCAGCAGCTTCTCTGAGGAGAAAGCTGTGCACAGCTCACCACAGGCTGCTCACATTGTGCAGATATTCCTGAACTCTGTCTTTTAGCATTCTAGCCAAAACTTGCTGAGACTGTGTACTCTGGAGTCCAGTCTTCACCCGAACCCAAGCCACATGCACACCTGGTGAGAGCTCAGGCCCTGTTTGCCCAAGCTAGCAGGAGCAGCAGTGCAGTGTGGTGCTCCATGTGGGCTTTCCACCATCTCTTGTGGATGCTGTCAACATGATGGAGCATCCCCACTAGCACTCAGCACCAAATCCACTTTTAGAGTTCATATGGCTGGCGAGAGTTTGGTTCTCACAGCAGGCTGGGATCAAGAGCTCCTTCCTCCTGGATATAGCCCTGGCAACTGGGGCCAAGAGCTGCCAGCCTCTGTTGGCACCCACTGGGCTAGGTTAGCTCTGTTGGCAGAGCTCCCAGCAGGGGGCATCATGTGTCCATTCTGAGCCCAGATGAAGCTGTGCAAAAAAAAGCAAGTTTCCAGCAGAGCCACGGGTGCCAGGCTTCCTGGGCCCAGGGCCCACATGTAGCTTCCAGATGCCACCCAAGTGGCCCTGATCCTCTACAGAAGCTGGCCTGCACCTGGCACAACAGCTTCCTTCAACCCTGCAGGACGCACCTGGGATAGTCAGAAGACTATCCAGACTATCAGAGGGAGCGAGAACAGGCACACACTGAGCCACATACATATCCCAACTACAAGTGGATAGGGACACAACTGGGGGGCTGCTGTGTAATGCAATGGTGCTCATAGTTAGCACCAGACTACTCCCCACTAGCCTGCCCCAGAGCCAGCAGCACCCTGAGTGGACAACCTTAGTGTAAACTAAGTTTCTCCAGCAAGAGCCAGTGACATTCTTCTATGTGGCCCATCATCATGGAGTGGCAAGCCAGCAGCTGGGCTCCTAGTTCAGTGTAGCTCTGGCTATCATGAATACTCATAGGCAATAGGACTCTTTTCTAGTTTCCAGTGCCCGCTGTCAGGATTACATAGCCCCAGGGCACTGTCT